GTCTGTGATATCCTTGCACAGGGGAAGTGCTACTTTTCTCTCTGTCGTTCCAATTTTTACAGATGTCTTCGAGGACTGTTTTGCTTCGTTTCGTTTCATTTCATTTCATATGTAAGTTTTAACAGGCGTTCCTAAGGGAACCTGCCACTCACGCCTGGTCCATGCTAATCGTGAGGGCTGATTTTTCTATTCCAGGTTCAAAACTAGTTCCTAGGAAGAAACCTGGCTCTCAGCATTGTCACGTTCATACCACAGCTGGAAGCTGTTACAGGCTTGCGTGTCAGCAAGGACAATTATAGCCAGCAAGGAACAATTTTGGGAATGCATGCTATGTAAGGCGCGGACCCCCTAGTAGACTATGTCTACGGCTATCTTAGGAAATCTGACGATCGTAGTTCTCCTCCCTAACTTCGAATTTTTAGGTCTCTGACATTCAGTTTCGGGGTTGTAGCCTGAAATCGTAAGTCATAAACCAAATTAAAAAAAAAAGAAAAAATCGCATTAGTTTCTCAAGTACAATACTGATTATCACTTTTGTAACTCTTAAAATTCCTAAATTCTTCAGTATGATCTCAGTCATTCATCATCAAAAACTCTTAACGCATTTTTTTCAATAGTATTTCTTCAACAATTTCTGTTACTTTTATATGATAAACTCTGATTTCTAAATTGTGATTAAACAATTGAGAGAACCTTTGTTGTTACAATAGTCATAAATTTGAGAATCATTTTCATAATCCTTTTTTGAGTTTGCTGTGAGATTGATTTGAATCCGTGATTTGAGCTTTTGGTGGGAGCTGCCAATTTCTAAGTGACACAGGGGGCATGGSCAGGATCGTGGTGGTTTTATCGCCACCCTGTGTTTTTTTCAGCAGATAATTTTCAAAGAGGAAGGGTATTGGGGGTAATCGCATTTTGTTGTAGAGACCCTGCTTATTCAATCGTGAAGTCAGTTATCAAAACTGTGGTTGGCCGGACAGGATCATTTCCGAAGGGAAGAATTGGACGAAGGAGGTTGGGGGAGCACTATCCTACAGGGGCATTACAAGGTGGGGGGTTAATGTCTCCGCGAGGGTAGAGGCGGAGCTAAGGGGCTT